GAAGGACGCTGCAATGCAATGTAATGCTGTCGTAGTTTCTCACCTTCATGCAGCATGTGAAGGACGCTGCAATGCAATGTAATGCTGTCGTAGTTTCTCACCTTCATGCAGCATGTGAAGGACGCTGCAATGCAATGTAATGCTGTCGTAGTTTCTCACCTTCATGCAGCATGTGAAGGACGCTGCAATGCAATGTAATGCTGTCGTAGTTTCTCACCTTCATGCAGCATGTGAAGGACGCTGCAATGCAATGTAATGCTGTCGTAGTTTCTCACCTTCATGCAGCATGTGAAGGACGCTGCAATGCAATGTAATGCTGTCGTAGTTTCTCAGGTTACGTTTATTAGCGTGCGTCGCGTCGCGTGGATGCTTGAAGCAACGATCTTTGACATTCGCGTTTTATCATCCGCATTTTAACATTTGTGTTTTGATGTTTGAGTAATTAAGTTTTTCTGAAACAACTGCGAGTGTAGCGAGCCTAGCCTGAGCTGTTCATGTTAATTAGTGAGTCAGGTTGCACTAATTGCCAGCTGAGCATATGCCTTTTTTCATGCAGCATAGATTCGTGTTTTGCACAAACAAATCGCGAATTTGCGGCGTGTGTAGAGTTGGCTCATGTCGCAGGTGTGTTAATACCTGCCAATCACTGCAGCAGCTTGCTGCATGCTGTGAAACGGAGCTTTCTGTAACAATGTATAGTGTATGAGTTATATATATATATATATACATATATAAGCTAGTAAATCTTGCTATTCATTGATAATAACTTGGCCCATGCTTGCTATGGTAGGTGAGCAGTGGAGTATATCAACGTTTCCAGTCAGTCCTTACACATGTTTTGTCATAATTATGAATTATAATCCGTGGTGACGTTACATGTTTTAGAAGCCTTATGGCAAATTTCTATTTATTTTGTTTTTGGAATGTATTAACATGGATTAACTTTCATTGTTTGCAGGTCTTCTGTCCTGATGGCGACTACAGTGCCATAGCCAGCATGGTCTTCCAAACCCCAGAGGCAAGCGTGAAGAGCCTGTTCCATGATCCTTACGGTAAATGTCTGTTTTTACACGTGTGCGCATGTGAGTTAAGTAATTAACGTACTTATTTCATATCAGTATTAATAGGTTTAATGGGTGTACCTTTATTAGGTGTAAAGGTGTTAATTACCATATAACCTTTTACTTCATTGAGGACTGATAGGAATGATCCAACACTAGCCCACAGAATTTAAGTTTGTGGAATTTATATTTGATATTGGTACACAACAGCGAACGTTGGTATTGAACGTGATGTGATTTCACAATACACGTAATAAAGAACTTTTACGAAGTGATAATAGTTAGTACTTTTTGCTTAAACACGTCTATACAGTACAGCAGCATACATAGCAGACTTTCACGATCATTTGATGTGTATGCTAATGCGTTTTGAAGCAAAATAGTTTCTCTTATCGTTACACTGAGTAGACGTGCGAGCGATCTCGCGGGTTTCGCCACATTTAGACTCCGATGTTTGCGTGACCGTCGTCAGCCGTGCGTTTGTCGTCTGCTTGTAGGTTCGTACAGCGTGCGAGGTCTGTCTGTGTTCTGCCTGCTCTACTTCCTGCTTGCTTGCTGGACGTACGGACTGCAGGTTCCTAGCGGTCTCTTCATCCCCATGCTGCTGATTGGAGCCGGGTGGGGACGCCTCGTAGGCATGCTGATGTTCTACATATTCCCTGACAAGGTACGGACGGATGGCGTGAGCGCGTGTTATAGCTTCATATAATACATATATATATATATATGTGACCCACTCCAGCATAATACGGACTAAGTCGGAAGTCATTGTTTTGAGTAATGAGCACGCACACATGTCAATGCTGAAAATGGCCTACCTGGACAAAAATGAGATTTTTACAAAAATAAGTTCCCAAGTGCATATTTAATCCGGATATATAATTTCAGATATCAGATTATTATGGTCATTTTTAATTAAAAAATAGAAATAAAATTTTTTTTAAATTTTTTGAAGGGCCCCTGACCGCTCATCCCCGACTGGGCCCTTTACCCGGAATGCTTTATCTCCAAAGCTGCATATTCCGGAATAAGTCGGTTTCCGATCTTCAAATTGCTGTAGATCGGTCAATTCTTTAGATATAGCCAAATATTAGATGTCATTTTAAAGGTAATTAAATGATCTATTCAGATGTGCACATAACTCAATTTGTAGAATTTCCTACTTAATCCTGGTTTTGCTGGAGTGGTTCACATATATATTATAGCTTATATAATACATATTTAGATATATATATATTTATATTATAGCTTATCTGCTCATGTTCTACATATTCCCAGACAAGGTATGGATGGATGGCTGTCGTGAAATATTTCGCATTCACGCACCATGACGGGGATTCAGTGATAGTTGGCTAGTACTTTTAGCTTGAACACACGTTGATCTATCTGTCTGAGTGTCTCACCTCATGCCCACCTTGGATGTTGTCGCTAGCTAGGGTCGAGCTGCAAATGCTTATGTGTTTGCGCGTTGAATGGTTGACTTGAAATTCTGTCACTTCTTCACTGAGCTTCGTTTAGGAGACCCACATCTCAATGCTGATCGGCTAGAACTACCTGTTAATCAGTCCAGGCAGATGCAGTGAGTTTCAGTTCTGTTGCTGTGGACTGTGGCTGCAGGCGTGTGTTACTCAGAGCGGCCATGTTGTCGCGTTTCGTAATTCTCCTCGCTGGCGCGAATCTTTTAGCCGAAAGATTTTCCGTAGCAACGCATTTCCAATTGTTAATTAAAGTATTGTTAATTTACGTGTGAATTATTATTTGGTTGATTAATTAATGACGTCTTTCAGGGCGTGGACCTGGGTAAGTACGCGTTGATAGGCGCGGCTGCACAGCTGGGCGGGGTCGTGCGGATGACCATCAGTCTCACTGTCATCCTCATGGAGGCGTGCGGAAACGTCACCTTCGGCCTTCCCATCATGCTCGTGCTCATGGTCACCAAGTGGGTCGGTGACTTCTTCAACGAGGTAAGTAGTGTGTGGGGGGGGGGGGGTGTTATCACGACCGTGCCTGGCAGTGATACTTGGAAAAGAAATTTGAGAAAGGGGCACTTTCCCGTCCTTGATGTAGGGGAATGGAACCAGTCTAGGGTATGAGGGTATCAAGTGGGCAGGGTTTTCTATGAAATAGATGTTTCGGATTCTTTTTTGTGTGTTTGTAAGATAATAGGAGGTTAGATACTAGACAATACTAGATGATAAAGAGGATATAGGTGGGTGGATGTGGTGGGCGAGCGTGTGTGAATAATATATTACCGCGCGTTTGTCGCCAGGGCATCTACGACATGCACATAGTGCTGCAGCGAGTTCCCTT